AGCTGAGGGGGATAATTGGTTTCCCTCCAGCTTGGAGGCATGCCGGTCACTGCTCACTGGAACAAGGGCATGAGGGCTAAATGTCAAGATTGGAGTAGAGGAGGATATCCTAAAACCCCAGTAAAGCGGCTGCTATGATTTTGTTTAGAATGACCTGAGGCTGCAGTGGATTGTTGTTGTCTGAGGAGGATGGAGAGTAGCTCATCAAGGGAGTAGAGGGCAGCATAAGAGAATTGGGAGTGGTGACAGCAATTAACACCGTGATGCAAAGAGCTCTGGGGGATCTGTCAGCCCACATGGCTAATTCAGCCACTGCTACACCCCATTAGGGCTGTGTCTGAGCCAACCCTGGGGCCCCTGTGAGCTTCTTCCCAGTAGTAGTCCTCACCATGTCAGCTAGTCCAACCTGTGAGTTCTCAGCCCAGGAATCAAGGAGCCTGGGAGACTTCATATCCTCTCCATGGTCTGTCACTTTGTTGGAAGGCAGCAGTCTTTAGACACCAGTTTAAACTTAGACTGAAGTGTCCATCTCCATTGTTTTCCTGCCCCTATTCAATATTTGAGAGTTCTAACAGAGGCAGCAAAAATGGGTGGGTTCATCTGATTTTTAGGGACTTTGGATCAGAGATAGGAAGTATGGATGTGGAAATCTTCTCACTCTAAATAGTATGGCTAATGCAGTCCAGTTACTCTGCTTTCCTGAAATGACAGGCTTAGGTGCATTTTTGTTCTAAGGGTTCTCTAGTCCAAACTTTAGTGCTGGCAGAGAGAAAGAGGAAGGGTGAAATGAAGGGAGGTAAAGAACAAGTTGATTTAGTATTTAGATACTGTAGATTCCATGGATAAATTCTGCATGGATTTTGGGACAAGCCCAGATCTGTGAAGTGATACTTAGAGATTAATATTCATGAACCTGTAGGAGATTACATTTCCAAAAGGAAAAATCATTAATCACTGTTATCTCAAATATTTCCCTGAAGGTATGTATGCAAAGTACTTGGAATTTTCCTTTCAGTATTGAAAATGGAACTATAAGGTTATTAAATGGAAATATAAGGTGTCTGCTCAAAGTCAGACACTCAGAACGTGCACTGGGGCTAGACCTGAGGTCTCCTGACACTCATTTCTGGGTAGGTTCCTCTAGAATCCACTGTAGGGATTGCAGAGTGGAGACACGCTAGTCTGAGTGAATTGCTGTAGCCTTACCTATGTGGAAAAGGCATAAAAAGGTGAGCATTTACAAAATGAAGTCCTAGTAAAATACATCAAATTGCTGATTATGTAAAAAGACAGGCAATCTAATCCAGACAGGAAATAGAAAACTAGGTGCTTTCTGAGGATATAAAACTGTTTTTGGGAAATCACCCACTCAAGTGGTCCTTGGTTTTCTGTCCCAAGCGTTAGGATGAAGCAGGTATTCCTGGCCACGATAGAGGCATTTGGTGTACACAACATCCATGTATTCAGCCAGATGTCAGATGACTCTTGCTTTAATTGAAAGTTCCATTTTTATTGCCAACTCAACTCTGTGAAGGTTGGTTCTGGTTTGTCTGACTAGCATCACAGAAAACATCTTTAGTTTGCGGGAGTTACCTTTTGTGCTCTGAGTCTGTGTTCAGGACTTCCGTGTGTCTCTGTTCAAATTGTAGAAACTGCAATGAGAAGAGCAAATATAATGAAGACTCAATGGAATGTTATAAAAGATGATACACAAACAGACTTCCAGCTGTAGGGCTTCATCTCTGTAATGAATGGGAGACAATATGGGCAATGGTCCCAAAGGGACTTTCGAGGCTGGTCCAAAGTTTTGTTCATCCATGTACCCTTTGTATCTGCATAAGCAGTGGAAAGGATTATTATTCTGAAATACAGCAGATCTCTGGAAGTTGAGATGTTGGGGAATCTTCCTATAATGTGTACACCTCCTTAGTGTTTTCAAATCAACTTCTTTCTTTCCAATATAGGAGGCATGGGAGAATATAATTTATTGAAGCAGCCAGCCAATAAAAGTTAAGATGTTTTTGTTTTAAAGTATAAGACACTAACCAGCGCAGGAAAATAGAACATGGCAATGAGTGTTACAAATGGGAAATGCACCCATGTGTTAAGCCCTGAACACCTCCATCCTTGCAAAGTTTAATAGAATATTTTGGAGTGTTGGTCCAAAATATTGGAGAGTGACAATGGAAAGTACATGTAATTAAAAACTGATTGGAAATGTGAGCAGCGGGATTTGAAGGTATCTCCAGAGAACCACAAGTGATGACCCTGTCTGTGTGGCACCAACATGTGAGAAGTTCTGTCACTGTTCATTTCATTTTTATCTGTGGGTCAGGGTTCTCATCTCTCTAGATGAGTAGTAGCTCATTGTTCTTCAAGGCCTCATCAATAGTGTTGGAGCAGGAGTGTGGGGAGGGTGTGGGGAAGGCTAACAGGGCACCTTATGTTGAGAAGCAGTCTTGTCACTTGCAGATGGATATTGATGCCCTTTCCTGTCAGGCAAACTGTAGAGCTATGGGGAGCCAGGCATGGAAGAGTCCTCTGTCCAGGAGATCAACTGCCAATTGTAATGGGCCAGTTGGGACGTGCCCCATTTCCATAACCCCAAAATACCAGATATTCACAAATTTTACAAAAATCACCACCTGAGAATTCACCATTAGAAATGTATGTAACTTGACTTAAACAAAGAACAAGTGTTATTTCTGAAGGGATTGGCTTCAGGTGCCGGGAAGCAAAAGAGATTGGATGCAAAGCAGAAACTCTTAGCTCTGAAGCTCAGACTTTTGCTGAGATGAGTCGGTGCCCCTCCCTGGGGGTGAGGTGAAGGCTGTGTTGGAGGGATGTGCAGGGTGGGTGAGAGACACATGGGGCGTCACCAGCTGTCATGTTCTGCAGGCAAGTCACACAGGTTAACAGGGGAACAAATGATGTAATGATTTGTTTTGTGTCCTTTCTTCCTTGGATGGGTCAGGTCTTTGCGCACAGGGACCTATAATACTCACCATGAAATAGGAACATCTGCGAAAGATGGCACTTTATAGATGTTTGCCGAATTAATAGAAAAATACAAAGTAATGTTGAAAGTATATTCTAATTGGAAAATAAAAAATAACTTACTTCAAAATTAAAAGAAATGTCTACTTTCTGCTGCAGATCTGATGTGTGTGTGTGTGTATAACAACAGCTATCAGATTTTTAAAAGTAAATATTTTCTTGAGGTGTTTGAGTTAGATTTGAGTGTCTTCTTTGGGTTAAGTGGACGCTTTGTCCTTCTGCCCAGGACTGAAGAAAAGCTGAGTGAGGGGTGAGGGTAAGGATCTTGCATACAGCTGTACAGGAGGGGTTGTCGGAAGGGGAAATCAGGTTTGGGGGAGGAAACTGGGGTAGAAGTTTCAAAAATGTGTGTGTCTGAACCATGAAAGAAGAGATGGCCATCTCTTTAACTTGTTTGTTTGTGTGTGTGGTTTTTGTCTTTTGTGAGATAAGGGTTTTGAAGTGCAGACAGTCTTCTCCTTTCTGCTGAGAGACCCCAGCCTGGGTGTGGAATGGCGCAAACAGCTCAGCTCCTGCTCTCCAGCCTTCTCACTGCTATTTTCTCCTCCTTCCCCTAATTTCTTACCCTGCAAGAAAAGGAACGTTCCTGATAGGTAGGCTTGGAGAAAGAATAAGAATAAATCAATCCCAGAAAATTAAAGAATGTGAACAATTTCTTTTTTTTTTATAAATAAAGTCTTTTCTTTTTTTTTCTTTCTTTTTTTTAGATTTTATTTATTTATTTTTAGGGAGGGAGGGGAGGGGGAGAGAGAGAGAGAGAGAGAGAGAGAGGGAGATAGAGAGAGGGAGATAGAGAGAGAGAAACATCAATGTGCTGTTGCTGGGGGTTATGGCCTGGAACCCAGGAATGTACCCTGGCTGGGAATCGAACCTGGGACACTTTGGTTCCCAGCCTGCGCTCAATCCACTGAGCTACCCCAGCCAGGGCTTGAACAATTTCTGTTTAATGTTCCAAGTTGATATGATAGAGTTTTAATAGAAAGACACTTCCCGGACACAGTAAAATGAGTGAAACGTCACTCCCACCCCCGTTGCCAGGAATTCATGCATCTGCCCCTGCTGCAGGCAATGAAGGGCAGTCCTCAGAGACCTGCTTCCTGTCCTGTCTTGTGAAGGGAAAGTCAGGTGCTCATACTGTCACTGCCTTTAATATGGGCCTCTTTGGAAAGGGTAGATTCCTAAGTGCAGCCGGCCAGGAAGGGAGAAACAAAAGAACAACATACAACTATAATCCCCTACCACTTGGTATGCCACTGAGTCTGAAGAGACGAAAGGTCATCCTCAAACCAACAATGGTCCCTCGGTCCCAAAGCGACTCAACTTTCCTAATCTTTCAGTTCCATTAAAGAGTTTTGAAGCCTGAATTTGTGGAGGGATTGCATGGGAAAATCACTTTTGCTACCATATCAACCCTGAAGCAGTGGTCATGTTTCCACTCATACTCATTCTGCTGCAGTCCTGCCAACAGTATAGTTCACAAAATACTTCCTTCAACCTTACCTACATTGGAGCTTAAATATACTTGCAAGTTGTAATCCTTTTGTAATGGGTTTCTCCATTTCAGGCAACTTTTATACCTTTCCAACAAGGTTTTTCTTCACTGTTTATCACTTTACCTACAATTGTCATGTACCAGGCTCTCCACACCTGAAACCTGAGGTCAGATGGTGAATACGTTGAGCTCCTGAACTTGGGCTGCATGGTGTCCAGGCTGAGCAGGTGTCCCAGAGGCCACATCACGTCCTCGTAGGTGCTGGCCTGTCTCTGATGCGTATCGGGATCCAGCCTGTGGTGACGGCCCACAAGCGATCTGAAACATCTGGCTGAGGCTGGCCAGCAAGTAGGCAGTAGGTGTTCACAGGAAAGTTGTTCTTACTGTTCTCTGATTCAACAGCTTCTGTTCTTTCTGACTCTCTGCAGATTCATAACCCTGACATTTTTTAATGGGAAGAGACAACCAGACGTGGGTGAGAGAGTTTATTCTCCTCGGCCTGTCCAGGGACTGGGACACTCAGGTGTCCCTCTTTGTCCTGTTCGTGGTCATGTACCTGGTGACAGTGCTGGGGAACTTCCTCATTGTCCTTCTGATCAGACTGGACGGCCGACTCCACACTCCCATGTACTTCTTTCTCACCAACCTCTCCCTCGTCGACGTCTCCTATGCCACGAGCATCGTCCCTCAGATGTTGGTTCATTTTCTTGCTGAACAGAAAGTGATCCCCTATGTGAGCTGTGCAGCACAGTTATTTTTCTCCCTGGGACTGGGCGGCATTGAGTTTGTTCTATTGGTGGTAATGGCCTTTGACCGCTATGTGGCTGTGTGTGACCCCCTGAGGTACTCAGTCATCATGCATGGAGGGCTCTGTACTAGGCTGGCCATCACCTCCTGGGTCAGTGGCTCTGTTAACTCTGTCATGCTCACTGTTATCACTTTTCAGCTGCCCATGTGCTCAAATAAGTTTATTGATCATATATCCTGTGAACTCCTAGCTGTGGTCAGACTGGCCTGTGTGGACACCTCCTCTAATGAGATTGCAATCATGGTTTCTGCCATTGTCCTGCTGGTGTCTCCATTCTGCCTGGTCCTCTTGTCCTACATCAAGATCATCACCGCCATCCTAAAGATCAGGTCCACAGAGGGCAGGAACAAAGCCTTCCAAACCTGTGCCTCTCACCTCACAGTGGTGGTCCTGTGCTATGGCATGGCCATTGTCACTTACATCCAGCCCCGCTCCAGCCCCTCTGTCCTTCAGGAGAAATTGATCTCTCTCTTTTATGCCATTCTGACCCCCATGCTGAACCCCATGATTTACAGCCTAAGGAATAAGGAGGTCAAGGGGGCCTGGCAGAAACTCTTAGGGCAATTATCTGGATTCACATCAAAACTGGCAACTTGATGAATCATGAGCATCAGTTAGAGGAAAGGACTTCAACTGTGTGTTCTCCCACTTAACTCAGACATGACAGGCATCAACTGTATCACCATGGCATCCAGGAAGAAAATGATGTAATGTGTAGTGATGATGAGGGTAGGAGGCTGAGTGGTTGGCTTGGGGTGTTGCATGTAGACATACTTAAATGTCCCAGCCCCATGTGTAGTGGAGTTAAGGACTGCTGCCCTAGAACTTCACACTCACTCAGTCTCCTTTCCTGACAGTAACTGAAAAACATACTACCTTTTGCTGTTTTGATTTGTCATGTTGTTTGGAATCATGGACCTATCTTGGATCTTCATTTGGACCACTGGTGCTTGTTCCTCCACATTTTGTCTGAAGTTATTGTATTTTCATTGGGAGCAAAACACTTCACATTTTAAGTCATTGAAAGATACGGGTGGTATATGTAAGCACATCCTGCAACTGGGTGAGTCACTGTTCTGAGGAGGGTGTTGCTATGAAGGCTGATTAATGCTTCTGTGCCTGACCTACATCATGTGGACATAATGTGTGTGTCTGAGTGTGGGTAGAAATACAAGAGAAGCTTCCACAGAAGATGTTGTTTTACACTGACAGGAAGTAAAGGTTGTTCTTACACGTGGGTATGACTGGCCAAGGGAAAGGTGTCTCAGGTGCTGCTGGGGTATTGAAACTGTTGGAAAGGACTTTCACTGCATATATAAGTGTACCTTTTAAATATTTAAAGTGTCCAACTCTGAAATATCTATTAATTCTTTTTTCTAGACGTTAGATACAAAATAGCATACAAAATATGAGATAATGCATAGATATAAAGTTAATAGTTATCTAGGAAAGGAAAGATTCCTGAGGCAAAGGCAGTGAAGATAAGACAAGCTTCACGTGCGTTGGGGATCAGGATGGTTCCGTCACCTCTGCACACAGCACCCTGTTGTCTGCCCTGGGAGCCCCCCCCCACCCTCACCCACTCTCCTCCACACATAGCACTGGGCCTACTACATCTTGTGCATCTCTGAGCTGGGACAGTCAGAAAGTGAGTGCCCCTCTGAGAGAAACCTGAGTTAAAGAAGGTAAAGGAGGGCGGAGGAATAACTGCATAAGGGAAGGAAGGAGAAGGAGGAGAAAGAGTGTGCCTACTCATCTGCTCCCCCCCTTGAAGAAGTCAAAGCCCTTTCTTCCCATCATCTCTTCTTTGAGTTGGTTGGTGTGCAGCTCTTCCATCTGGGGACACATTATCACAGACTCTCAGTGTGCAAGCATTGTTGAAGTTTCAGATAAACCAGAGCCCATTTGACACTTTAATTTTATCTAAAGGTAATCTATCTGGAGTTTTACAATCTAGGCAGATATCCCAGTAAATGTCAATGCTAGTGGGCTGTATTACTGTTGATGTTAATTGAGATATATCAGTGGACTGTCTACTGTATGTCAGTGACATCGAGTGGTTCTTGAAACACAGGATGATACAATCCTGACAAAGATAGGGTCACACAGCAGAGATGACAATGAAGCAGTTAAAATGCAGTGTTGTGTCACAGAGAGAGTGAGGCTTTGGGGGTGATTACAGAAGACTTCCTGTCTGAAAGGACCAGAAGAGGTGCAGGTAGAGACCAGGAAAGTGAGAATAGGTGATCCAGTTAACCTGAGCAAAGGCTGGCCTGTGAAAGGTGCTGAAGTGGGAGAGAGTGTGAGAGTTCAGTAATGCCCTGAATTTGCTCTTGCTGGGCAGAGGAGATGGAGGAAGTAATGGGGATGAAGCTGGTGGCAGACAGGGGCCATGCCTTGGAGGTCACTGAATGAATGTCAGATTATTTTGAAGTTGATCCTGACAGCATTGGGAGCCAGTAAGATTTTTTGGCCAGAGCATGCCTTAATGAAATTTATGTCTTTGAATCACTCTGGCAAATGATTCAGAGGGAGAAATGGATCCAAGGAGACCAGGTAGGAGGCTGCAGCACAATTACTAAGACTCAGAGGAATATGGCCTGAACAAGTGGCAATGGGAAAGGAGAAGTCATTGCATGAGATTTAAGAGACATAATAGAGGGACCCTGGCCCAGCAGCTCCGTTGGCTAGAGCATAGTCCCAATGCACCAAAGTTGCAGGTTTGATCCCTGGTTGGGACACACACAAGAATCAACCACTTACGGATGCATAAGTAAGTGGGACAACAGATCGATGTTTCTCTTTCTCTGTCTTTCCCTTCCCATCTCTCTCCAAAGTCCATTTTTTTAAAGAAGGTTACTGAAAGGCATACTAGAGGAACACTTCATCTTCACCCAGTTTAGAGTCCCCATGTGGGTCCATTTGTCCCTAAAACGCCATGGTTCTGTCTGAATACTCTGTAACTTGTAAACTGAAAAACTTACCACCATAAACACACCCTATATAAAATGGTAGTAGCAAGAGAGGAAAATTAGTCAAAAACATAAATATGCACATAACACTTGTAGGAGGAGGATGTGTGAAGGATCTGCATCCTCATTTCTGTGACTGGTATGTGGCCACAGTGTGGCTTCTCTCTACTACCCAGCAACTTATTGGGTTGAACAAAAAGAATTCATTGGATTTTACAGTAAAACAAAAAGACACACTTTTCATTTTCACTAATAACTTTATTAAGCAATGTAATCACTGTTTTGTTCCACTTCCTTTTGCCATCTTTCAGGCAACTTCATTATTTCATCTTTCCAAGAATTTTTATCTTTTTGAGCAAAGAACTGTCCAGGTGCCTTTTACTGTGTTCCATGGAATTAAAGTTTTTCCATTAAGAGAATGTTGTAAAGACTGAAATAAATGGGAGTCTGAAGGTGCAATGCCTGGAGAGTATGGCAGGTGAATAAGAACATCCCAGCCACGCTGTACCAGTTTTTGCCTGGTCCTCAAAGAAACATGTGGTCCTGCATTATCCTGATGGAAGATTATGCATTTTCTGCTGACTGATTTTGGTGCTTTTCATCGCATGCTGTTTTCAGTTGATGTAATTGAGAGCTTTACTTGTTGCAATTAATCATTTGGTTTTGGGGGGAGCAGCTCATAATAGAGGACTCCCTTGCAATCCTACCATATGTACAACATCACCTTTTTTAGCTGAAAACCAGAGATTGGTGTGGTTGGTGGTCCATTTTGCTTGCCCCGTGATCTCTTGTGTTCCACATTATTGTCAAGTACCCACTTTTCATTGCAGTCATGTTATTTTAAAAAACAGAATTCTTTCATTATGTTTAAGGAGAGAATTGCATGTGGAATACAGTCAACAAGGTTTTTTCTTTCTTTTTTTCTTTTTTTTGCATCTTTTACATATGTGGAACCCAAGTATCAAAGAGAGTAACATAACCAAGCTGTTGCAAATGATTTTCAACACTTGATTTAGACATCTGAGTATGTGACTTTCTCCTGTGTGGAATAACATGATTGTTCTCAGTTAATGTCTCCATTTGATCTTTATCTTCAACTGGTCTACCCAACTGTGAAGCATCATCCAATGAGAAATCCCTAGCACAAATTTCACAAACCACTTTTGACCCATTACATCAGTCACAGCACCTTCTCTATTCACTGCAGAAATTTTTTTTTTTAAATTTCAGTTGCATTTTTCCATTTCTTGAAATAACAAAGGATAATTTGCCAAAAGTGTTGAGTATTTTCTTCTGTGTTCAATATTATAATGGCTACACAAAATTTCACCAATTTTGATATTAGGTTTGTATTAGGTTTAAAGGATTTAAAAAATTTTTTCAAGTGTATTTTATTGATTATGCTATTATAGTTGTCTCAGTTTTTTCTCCCCTATACCCCCCTCTGCCCTGCACCCAACCATCCTCCAGCATTCCCCACTCCATTAGTTCATGTCCATGGATTGTACATATAAGTTCTTTGGCTTCTCTATTTCCTATACTATTCTTAACCTCCCCCTGTCTATTTTCTGCCTACCATTTATGCTTCTTATTCTCTGTACGTTTTGCCCCTCTCTTCCCCTCCCACTCCCCTACTGGTAACTCTCCATGTGATCTCCATTTCTGTGATTCTGTTTCTGTTCTAGTTCTTTGCTTTGTTCATTTTTATTTTTTATTTTTTTAGGTTTGGTTGTTGATAGTTGTGAATTTGTTGTCATTTTACTGCACATATTTTTTATCTTTCTCTTAGATAAGTCCCTTTAACATTTCATATAATAAGGGCTTGGTGATGATGAACTCCTTTAACTTCACCTTATCTGGGGAGCATTTGATCTGCCCTTGTATTCTAAATGATAGCTTTGCTGGATAGAGCAATCTTGGATGTAGGTCCTTGCCTTTTAAGACTTCAAATACTTCTTTCCAGCCCTTTCTTGCCTGGAAGGTTTCTTTTGAGAAATCAGCTGACAGTCTTATGGGAACTCCTTTGTTGGCAACTGTCTCCTTTTCTCTTGCTGCTTTTAAGATCCTCTCCTTATCTTTAATCTTAGGTAATGTACTTATGATGTGCCTTGGTGTGTGCTTCCTTGGGTCCAACTTGTTTGGGACTCTTTGAGCTTCCTGGTCTTCCTTTGCCAAATTGAGGAATTTCTCTTTCAGCATGTTTTCAAATAAGTTTTCAATTTCTTGCTCTTCCTCCTCTCCTTCTGGTACCTCTGTGATTTGGATGTTGGAGTGCTTAAAGTTATCTCAGAGGTTCCTAAGCCTCTCCTCTTTGATTTCTTGTTTCTTCATTCTGTTCTAGTTGGATGCTTATTTCTTCCATTTGTTCCAAATCATTGATTTGAGTCCTGGTTTCCTTCCCTTCACTTTTGGTTCCTTTTATTTCACATTTTCCTTTATTTGACTTGTATAGCCTTTATTCTTCCTTCATTTTGTGACCAGATGCAATCATTTCTGTGAGCATCTTGATTATTGGTGTTTTGAACTCTGCATCTGAATCTTTGTCTATCTCCTGGTTGCTTAGTCCCTTTTCTGGAGTTTTGATCTATTCTTTCATTTGGGCAATATTTCTTTGTCTCAGCACAC